ATAGATCATTCAAGACAAATATGTAAGTTATTGGAACAGCCGAAGAAAGTTGTTTGCATATGCCATTGGCTTGACATCAGGATGAGGCTGTCATTCACAAACAGAAAGGTACTGTTACAGAGTGTTATGATGTGCAATTTGAAAGTTTAAAAAGGGATATCACAATGCAAAGGTGCTCACCACCGCCGAGAATGTAACAATGTTTGGCTTCAAATCGGGAGCTTCAAAACGAATGAAAGCACCCTTGTTGCCCATCTGCAGAAACAGATTGCAGAACCATGTTAACAAGTTGTATATAAGATCATAATAACAAATGTAGTGACTAGAGAAGGAATGAATAACCAACAAGTTTCAAGGTTAAAGTGGTAAGCCAATAGTTTTCGTTAATAACCAAAAAATAAAAATAAAAAATGAACAGTTCTGTAGCAGCCAAACTAGTCCTACAATAAACACATGAATCTACATTTCAAGATGAAATACTGACTTCCCTTTGCTGAGCTACTTTGTAAAACTATGCAATTTGATTTTCTAGGCAATGAATGATAAAGTAACAAAAAATATGCTTTTGTTCCACTCTACCAATACAGAGTTGCATAAAAACATAATCACACAATGCCCTTGGGTGAATTTGCTAGAAAATAATGATCACATTTACAGTAAATCAACAAATCGTTACCTGATCACAATAATTTGGTGCAGAAAATACAGTAATAAGTTTACCATCATGCTCAATCTCAAAACCTTCGTCTTTTACTTCTTTAAGGAATAAAATAAAATGATGACCAAGACTTTCACTTTCTATCCAGTACCCATAATAAATAAATAAGCAAATAATGAGAAACTCAATTTGGGAAATAGAATTCATTCATAGGAAGAAAGCTCATCACATCAACTCTAACATGTTGTGTTCCTTTTTCGCAATGGACTACTCCACTTCTAAGAAGGTACTGCTCTCGGCCAACTCCTCAATTGGGTAGACTCTGTATCGAAGGATCCCCTGATCTCCGTCAATATAGGAAATTGATGAGCATACAGGAGCTGTGTTCAAATAGCCAGGGTCATACATCTTGAGCCCCTTGTCATCTTTTCCGGTCGTTATCTGTAAAAACAAAATTCAACCCAAAATGCCAAGAATTGGAATATATATAAATTCAGATCAGAGAAATCGAAAGGGAGGGTAAATATAGACCTTCTTCAAATCAGCCGCTTTAACGGTGCCTTCTGCGGAGACGGGGACGTGGTACTTCTTCCCAGTGCGTTCGTCGATGATGGTCAAGGAGCCGCCAAGGGAGGCGGCGGTCTGAGCAGAGACGCACCATGGCTCAATGATCGGCGGAGAAGAGAGGTCGAAGGGTGGCGGTGCTGCTAGATGAGCAGCGAGTATGGCCAAACGGTATGGCCAAACTGTTTGACATTCTTAGAATGGATTTGGATGGAACTGAAAACCGAGTTTGTCTTTTTGCTTCTCTACTGAGTTATTGGTATGGCCTTGCTTCTGGGATTTTCCTTTCGTCCTTCAGATTAGATTGGGCTTTTATAATCAGAAAATGTCGACGTAAATTACCAAAATATCTTTAATAATACCTTTCTCAATGCTCATTCATCAACAATGTTTTTGGTAATTTCAATATTTATACAAATCGTTTTTTATGTTTCATGATATATATCTTACTTTCCATATCCCATGATGTTTGGAGGTGCCACTGGGCACCGTCATGTTATGCCATGCCTTGTTGACTGTGTTGTTCAAATTGTAAATTTTTTATAATAATTAACAATGATTGATCTATCTAGTACAGAAATAGCAAAACGAGTCCATTATCATAGCAAAATTTAAAAAAAAAAAAAAAAAAAAAAAAAAGGGGGTATCAAATAATTTGGCAGGTATACATATTAGGTATTGCTATGGTAATGACAAAGAATTTTATTGCTAAAAATTTGTCATGTTACCCCTTAAGCTCCTTTTGCTATGGATATGAATTTTTTTAATAAAACATTTTATTCTTTGAAAAGTCACATTAAATTCTAGTAAATTTAAAATCAAGTTAAACTAAATTATATAAAAAAAAACTTCTTCTAATATTTATCTTTCTATCTATAAAATTTGAATACAAAATCTTATTTTTTTTAAAAATCAAACTTTTACTACTCAAAATTATCACTGCACAACAATTGGATCGATTTTCATTTAAGACTAAGGGCCTGTTTGGTAGAGGCTGTTGTAGGTTTTACTTTTTTTTTTAACTATTCATGAGTGATAAATTTAAATTTTTATTAGAGAAAAAATTTAAAAGTTGTTTTTAAAAATTAAAAAAAAATGAATAAAAAAAAATTA